TTTCATCAGGTAAACATAATAAAAAAAGTAGAGAGAAACTGATACCAGTAGGGGCTTATGTGACAGCAGGGCACGATTAAAAAAAATAGGCATAGGTCACCGGAGAAGGAGACATGATGTGTAGGTGGATACAGTGCAGCGGTGTCATGCTCATTTAAACTGAAAGAGCACTTGCCAGCACAGTTATATTTAACTGACATCTAATCTGAAGACTTATGTAAATATGGTCTTGAAGGGGTAAATGGATGAAATGATAATTACCATTAACCAGACAAACTTGAATAGCTGGAAAAAACTTATAATTTCAATGTATTTAACGTATAATTAATTATTAAAATAGAATTGATTATGCATTTAGACAGCAGAGCTATGGGGAATGTTTAGTGAAGTAGATCAAATTTCACCACAAAGTAATTTAGAGAGATCATGGTAATATGCGGTGCAGTACACAGTAACCCTGTGTGGTGTTTTTCCTTGGCGAACAGCGGCGTGTATTATGGGCAACAGAATCCAAGTAGTATAAGATTTTAATAGGTGTTCTGCTTTTATTTTAGACCTGCACGTACCAACCTAATGTTTGCTGCACAAGCCAATTTTCATATATTTTGGACCAATGACAATAGTTGGCTTAATTTCTTAATGGTTAGCCGACTCTGCACTTTGAGGAGGTAATTAAGGAGTGCATTTTCTGACATGTCTGTTTGATGAGTATAGCAGTATAGCAGCAGAAACTGCACAATTATGCAGTCCATTTGAATGATTTTTAATTCCCTAAATGATGGCAGTTGCATTAGAGCAGTGTCTCTTTCCTGTAAAAATCCTCCCCAAAGCTATATTTTGATAAAGGGGATTCACAAACGAGGAACGATAAAAACACTGACCTCACTATAAGTCGTGGCGGATAAAGCGATTTGGAATTTGTACATTAAGCATTGTGAATTTTTTATCGATCTCTCTCTTTGTGTTTTGTTTCAAGGATCAGGATAGAGAAAGTCCTGTTTGTAATGTCCCCGAGACTGCCATGAATCTTCCGGGGTGAGGCGGACCCAGAAAGTACTACCACACATTAAGGGAATGAATATTGATTTAAAACCAAATTTGACATGGTTTTAAAATTGACTAGAAAAATGCATCACTTAAAAGAGTCAGGGGTTTGTAGTCTGTCAATGGAGCGGAAAAAAATTCGCTCTTGTTTTATGGTTTAATACGATTCCATTAACGGCTTCTTGCACCTTGGGAAAAAAAAGGTCTGAAGCAGGGGCAATGAGTAATTTATCTGTGTGAGTGAATTCAGAGTGCGACAAAATAATGGTTTGGCGATATTTTCCAAGCTTCCTTTTTCAATATGGTATCAAAATCTGGTGCCCGATGCTTCTTCAACCTTCAGCCTTCTTCAAAATAGATTCCCACAGCAGCTTAACTCACCAGACTCATCAATTCATGACTCTTTCTTGTGGTCCTTATCAAACGAATGAAGGGATCGTCAATATAAGTTGACCAGAGAAGAAGAAAAACTCATAAGGATAAAATGCAGACAACTTAAACAACTAATTGAATTGACATTTTATTTATGTCACCAAATGAGTTTCCTCCAAATGGTCTCTGGGCTGTGGAGCTCGGTATTCCTCGATATTGAAAGGAGCCAGCGGTGTTTTGAGGATGCCTCCCAAGTGAGCTGTTTCTGGCATGTCCAACCCAGGGCAAACCGTGGACACGCTGGAAAGATTAAGACTCTCTGCTGCCTTGGAAGCTACTTGGTGTCCCTCCGAAGAGCTGGAAGAGGTTACTGGGGAGAAAAGTGATGTCTAAGCATCTCTGCTAATGACTGTTGTCTACATGTTGTAGCTGTTTACTGTCACCAGGGGGCAGTGTCACAAACAACCCATCTGTGGGACACTCTTGCTCGTTCTGTTCTTGGTCCTTGCCGATCTAGAGAAGAGTACGGTAGCTCCAAGAGGTCAAATGGACTGCAGCTGCAAATTATGTGAATCATGCGATTACAACACATAGTACCTTCATCATGTAATCCCTGACAACACTGATGAACCCTCATGTTCTGACTTTTGCAAGGTTTTTCTGTTTGCTGGTGTTAAGTAGCAGTCCATTTGACCTCTCAGGGCCACTGTAGAAGTGACCGTTATACCAAGCTGAGCTGAAGTAAAACCAGATAATAAAAATATCAAAAACATGTCACCTGCAGCCGTTGTCTGTGCTTCTTATGCTGTATTTTTTTTTTTTTATTCTTGATGTTTTTTCACGCTTCACTCTGAAGACTGCTCCTTTTTTTGTTCTGGCTCACCTTTCAACCAATCAGCATTTGACCAATGCACAGTGTCACCCATGTTTGAAGACGCTGTTTGTAGGTCAAATGTGTGGGCTGTTGTGTTTCTGGAGGACTGCACACAAGAATATTTGCATAGGGTGAAAACCCCTCCCTGTTGTCTCTCTGTGGCAAAATACCTTCAAATCAGACACAACCGATAGACCATAAATTTAGCATCACACTGCTGCACCTGTGACAGAGACCTGGATAGGGAGGTTTTTCTCCTCCAGGTTTAGATATGGTGACGCGTTATGTATCTTGCAGTATTTTTAGTATCACAAAATTGCTGTATCGTGGTCAAACTGTTATTGTGGGCAATTTATCACAATAATCTTGAACAGTGAGTGACTCTGTGGTGTGCCAAAAGAAGATTTCACCTTCACATTTCACTTTGTGTTGTTTGAAACTAAGCAAGATCCCTGGTCCTTGAGAGGGCGGCCAACATAAACATCAGGCAATCTCAACAGAGTGCTCGGCTGGCATGGTTTTAGCTTCTCAGGCAACGCTTGCATGTTCAGTGGGCCAGTGGAGGGAGACTGCGTCTGGCTGCTTGCCCAGCTTTCAGCTTGACAGAGACGGATCAAATGGATGGCTGTGATTTCCTTTCCTAATTGTCCACAGCAGCACATCAATCCAACAGAAATGGATTTTTTGTTTAATTTCAAGCAAGAAATCGGAAGTTCATCAAGTCTTGAATAAATATGTGTTTGGTTTGTAAACGTTCAGTTTTAACCTTTGAGCAAACAACATTAGTTTTGTTTATGTGCATACATTTTTGCATCTGTTATTCCAGATATTAGATTAGATCCAATATTTTAATAGATTTTTCTCAGTTCTAAAGTATACAACCACACAGGGGCAATGCAATAATAGCAGGTTGGACCCCTGGAAAGTCTGTAATAGTCAGCATTTGTGGTTGACTGGTGTACAAAAAAATATGCATTAAAAAAAGTACTACTGTTCATTTAGGAGCACTTTAGTCAAAAGAAAATTGGTATTTCCATTAGCAGCAATTTAGAGGCCTCTGTTCTGGAAGAGCATATCTATCTGCCCTTCATAACCGGAAGCAGGGAGAGTAGCAACAGCCAGAGCAGGAACCACTCAGTACAGAGGAGGCACGAAGGACAGCCTGTCAGACACCGCATAGAAAAGAGGGGTGGGGCTGTTGGTGGGTTTTGAAGCAGTTTGTAGATGTTCAGTAACTGTGGGCATCTTAAATAGGACACCCTATTTGAGATTTGTCAAATAGAAATATAGGAAGGCTTCAGTTCAGTCATCTGCTGATGTGGGCTGACAGATCACTGAGATCAGATGATCTGGTGGGGGTTGCATTAACCTTGACTTTATGATCTGCCACCTTTGATTTTAAACCAGTTTGAGGCCTTGCTGAAAAAACAACAGGAAAAAATCAACCTCTAAAAACAAGATGATGAGTATTTAAGAAGCAGCTACTCGAGCCCAATGCTGCACCCTGCTGACTGCTGTTTTTAAGAAGATTTGGAAATTTTCTAATTAATTTTAGACATCTTAGCATCTCCTGAATTAGTTATGACAGCTTGTGTTCATGCTGCGTCAGATCCCCTTTTCTGTATTGTGGAGCTTAACACGCACCTTCTTTTTATAATTGATTTGCATGCACGGTGATATGTCCTTATTTATGAAGAGTTTAGTATAAACTAAATTATTACAGATTCTTAGCTTCAGTATGTGATTGACTGATTGAGGAAGTCAGTAGTACCAGTGAGGCCAGCTAAACACCCTGCAAATGCAGCATTTCAGGCTGACGTGACTGTAATTGCTTTAACATATTCAACAACAACAACAACAACAACAGGCTTCTGTTTGGGCTTCCTTCAAAAGAAGTATACAAAATGGTTTTATGGAGTGAAAATGGGTCTTGTGGTGTCTTAGGGCAGCAGGATAAGTGGTAATCCTTCGGGTGGTGCTCTGTTGTAGTCTACAGATCCTATAGAGAGCTCTGGCTGCTGAGTCAGCCTTTACAATTCTTCCAGGGGAGCAGACTAATCTCTGTAGCACCGTCCCTTTAAGCGGTCCAAGTATGCACAGTTCTACCTCGGCATATCCGTCCTTATCAAACATCCCATTCCCTGGTGGCATCCGAAGCTGATTTTCTATGTGTTTTGCAATGTCTGTCGCTGTTTTAAGTGTTATTGATTGATTGCTAATTGCTGATTTAGTATAAGTACAATTCCCTTTTTCACATAATCTTCTAGTGATCATAAATTATGCATCTAGATTGATTAACGTTAATCTGTAGCTAACAAAATGGATTGAACTGCAGATATTTGGTCAGCAAGTTGTGAATACCTCTGCTTGTCTCAGAGTTAGAGGCCAAAAGGGTTAACACAGTCGAAATACAAGGTGCTCACCCAGTGGTGAGAATCCGCTGGAGTTTGTGTTTATTTAATTTGAGCCTAACTGCCAGATGCAGCTAGCTAAGTGCTTTGCCATTAAGGCTCTGTTCTGTGTTTAATTCTGCTACAGTGCCGAGGCTTACTGGCGTAATGGCAGGTTCCTTACTGCCTGCTCTATAGTAAATGTTTACCATTCTCCGTGCTACATTGTGAATAGGGCAACCTGCTCCTCTGTGATACTCTTAATTAAACAAATGTCTCCAATAACCCGACCTTTGATTCCCCGTGTTTTCTTTTTGCAGATTTATAATGAGAAGAAGAGCCAGTTTGAAATCAAGCGAAACAACCCCAGGGATTTGGTGGAGAGGGTGGCACGGGACATCTCCAAGCTGCTCAACAGCAAGAGAAAAGCCCTGGAGGTAAGAGGATGATGCTCCACATGTATTAAAACACCTGTGCACAAACACATGCTATGCCCCACTGCACAGGTGCACACATACATGGTGAGTGTTTTAGATTCTTCTGAAAGGTGAACCTTCTGTGCATACAAATGCATCCGCTGCCGTTATATTTTTCAGTGCCAGCTCTCTGAAAGCTCAATTTAATTAATTAAGACTTGCTTGAAGAATCTCCTTCTTTTTTAAATCAAAGTTAGCTGTGATGGATCTAAGGAGTTTTAGGCACGCATTACAATAACGATGTCTTTTTCTTGGCTGTGACTACAAATGCTAAATACTTGACAGAAACATATTGGTCAATCATCCATAATTGAACAGTTTCCTGCACATTATAGATGATGCATTGTTTTTATGTTGCAGTTAATCTTTCCTCCTACCTATTTGAAAACAACGGATTTTCTTTAAATTTGATGGAAAAACCTGCATAGTTTTTCTTTACAGTTAAAATACAGTTTGAGCTAATTATATTTTGTCGACGACTGAGGTAACCGTATTCATGCTTTGTTTTTCAAATTAGTTTTGAGGGGTTTTATTTTTCTGTTAAATGTTGAAGGCGTATATTCTGAAATATAGTTTGTATGGTGTGTGAGAAGGTTATCATTTCAATGTCCCGCATTTTAGGATGTAATTATTACCACTGTTATGCTCAGGCAGTGCTGTGATTAGTTAAAAATGTGTTTCACTCTCCCAGTGGGAAACCTCTAACCCAGAGGAGAAGGGGGTGGTTGGGGAATAAATGCCAGGAAGATGAGTGGCAAGTAGGTAAATGAGAAAAGTGCAGCCGGTTAATTTTTTAAATTGAAATAGACAGAGATAAAGTAAAAGACCGTTTGTAAAATCCACCATTTCAGAATTAGTCCAATCTAATGTCTCCTGTTTAGTATTTTGTTTTGCTGAGCAGAAGTATGTTGAAAAATTGTGAAAAAGTCGTCACCGCTCGTTCCTATTTAGTTTGGGTTAAAGGAGCCAGACTTTCTCGCACTTAATTAAATGCAATAGAACTATTGAGCGATAGTTCCTCAGGTTCCCTGAAGGTCATTCAAAGGTTTTCTTTGCACATTGGCTGCTTTTTCACTCACTTTCTGTTCAGTACTTGTACACAACTATTTTCTGAGGAAGGGTTTTTGTTTGTTAGGGACACTTAACACTGGCCTATGAATCATAAAACACACACGAACCCAATTTTTACCCTGTTGCAATAAAAAAAAGCCAAACATTAACATAGTTTGACAGACATAAAATAATCTTATTACATCAAGCAGACGATTATTAAAGAGGTATTCATCTAAAATGATGAATCAATATTTGAACATTTTTATTCAAATTGTCATCAGTATGTAAAGAGGTCAGGATAGAGTTACAATAGACAGTGACAATGATCCAGACACACTGTCAGTGCAGTAAAAAGATAGCTGTATAGAAAAGCACACAATGGCTAAATGCCTAAAAGAGTTCAGGCTGTGTTGAAAAGTAGTCGGAGCTAAATGTTGACTTTGAGGCTCATCACAAGTAGAGTGGTGCAAACACTGTTTTTGCTTTATATGTTGCATTTCTAGTTATACTTGCACGTTTCAATAAATTGCTGCACCTTATTTCCATTTTCCCAGCAAAATATAAAGAAACAAGTGTTGGCTCAAGAATTTTGCACTTTACTGTAGTTCTCCAAACCTTGCTTTATATGGAGCACACTGTGTGTGGGTATGTACAAGATATATTTTGACTTTAGTCCATATGGCACATCATTTAAAGATGGAGGTGACCGAGGGACTGGCTGCTTTCCTTCCCTCTGTCTCTGCCCAAATACGGTCACTCAAGGCCAAAGCAGTGATATTTATGAAGTCCTCTGAAGGAGCAGAAGTGTATATCTTTTAAGAGCATGAGGTCTTGTGGGAAGTGAGGCACATTCATGCTAAGGAGCAAAAGTTTCTCAAAGGCACGGTTAATTCTGCAGCTTGGATCCTTAAAGCGAAGAAAACGTTACTGTAGGTCTCCTGTGGTCATGTCCAGGATTGAATTTGGAACGGCAAAAACCCTCTTCATCTTTATTTTTTGGACTATACCCCCACCTTAACCCCTTCCACCTTCCTCAACACACACACACATGCACGCACATGTACGGACACACACAATGAAGCCCCGCACCCCCGCCCTAACTTCCACAGGCCACACTGTCACCTTACATCCTGTCTGGGAGATTCAGACTCAGGAGGGAGGAAATGAGGTGAAAAAAGAGAAGGTCTGGAATGAGAATGTCTCCCTGAGGCGTGGAAAAATCAAGAAAATGATGTTCAGAAATTCATAGATTTGAAAATGAGCAGCCAGCGAGAGGGAAGGAAAGAGGGAGCAGGAGGGGTAGGAAGGGAGAGAAAGAGTGTGCAAAAAAAAAAAAAAAATCGGAAGAAGAAAGCAGGTGGACGGGAAAAAAAGGGCGTCGGATGATTAAAGGGAAAGAAGAAATGGAGTGATTATGGCATCATAAAACATAAATGTTAACACAAAGTATGCAACAAGCTAATATGTTTCATTTAGGCAGGTTATGATTTCTTCATTATTATTATTTTCATTAAAACTGAAAACTCAAGACTGTAGGCAAATAAATTTATGTGGACTTATTATTCATGCAGGGAGGAAAGTGAAAGCCATGTCTTAATGCAGTCTGTAGATAAGAAGGTCTCAAACTCCGCTCAGCGCGCCGTTGACAGCGTTTTATATTCCAGCCTGTTTCTACCCCCTGTAATGGTTATTTAGTTCCAAATATTCCCTGCCACACATTTAAAAAATGAGGAAACGTGTGCGTGTGTGTGCGCACGTGTGTGTTTGTGTGCATGCACGAAGAAATTATTCTCCTGCAACCTATTTAAATAATGCTTCGGGTGCTTCGTTGTAATTCATGTTTATATTACTAATGAGAAAATGCACATTGACTCTAAACACTGGTTACTGATATATATAAAGGAGAGCGAAGCCTTTCTCACTGCTCAGCTTGACTTGATTCGGCCTAAATTCCTAAATTAGCAGCACATTTGTTCATTTAAGTGCTCCGCTTGTATAGTTGTAAAGGTGTGAAGCAAAATAAATCAGTCTACTGAGTTTTTATTTGTTTTGTTTTCTAATTCTTACTTTCTTTACCTGCGAGAGCTAACACTCATATAGGTATATTTGGGTAACATGGTGATGCAGTGTTTAGCACTGTCATTTCACAGAAAGACGGTTCCTGGTTCGAATCTCCTGCTCAGCTGCCGCTTTTCCTGTCTTTACGTTCTCCCTGTGCGTGTGTGGGTTTCCTCCCATAGGCCATTGACACGTGCCTGTAAGGTTAATTGGCAATTAGGCGTTTGAAGTGTATAAAATAAAGCTTTGGATGAATGTATGCTTGAAATTTATGGCAGATGGAATGTTTTTGGTCTTCAGCTTTTTAACTTTAATGTCTAGTAGAGAGATGTATGCCTGCGTTCATACATCTACTGTCAAAATAGGTATTTAAATATGTATTATTTAAAGTGCACTGTACTCAGTCTACCCCATTCTAAAAATGGAAACGATATAAGCTGACTTACTTTTTTGTCAAAAGCCTCTCCGTGTTTATTCTTTTCCTTCCCTTGTCTTAATCTCCTCCTTTGAATGTATCTGTCTGCTCTCCCTCTCTTGCCTCTGGCTTCAGCCATCTCCTCAAACAATGATCTGATTCTACGGTCGGTGCCAAAATTAAAATGTGGCAAAAACCTTCAGCTAGCTGAAAGGCTTGCATGTTGCCGGTGGACATTTTTATATAAAGCTGTCTTTTTTTTTTGTGCACGAGGTACGTTGAAATTTGATACAAGATTTTTCTCTCTCTGATGTTTTTTTTTTTTTTTTTTAATTTCAGTGGCTTTTTGTCTTGAACCTGACATCTAGACAGTTATTTTTTATTTGAGGGGTACAAGTATTTGTGTTTGGACTTTTTCCTGTTTTATGTGAGCTCCAACTTTTTGCTTAATGCGCATTCGAAGATATGAAAAGATGTCCTTGTTTACTTGTACTCGTATGAAACTAATGTATGTTAGAAGACTTTGGAAACACTTTATTTTACGCGCTGGTAATTTCTGAGTACTAGCCGCATAATTTCCAAGAATTTTCTTTTCATTACAGAGAAAATCAAAACAGTTTTCACTTGACAGACTTCCATTTAGCTATTTCCAATTAGTGACATAACCTGTAGCGTCATCTAGTCTATATGCCGAGCACAAACTGTGAAAAGTTCTCTGTGGGCAAGCATGCAGTTTACTTACTTAACATGCTGTATATGGTAGATTAATTCTCCGATAATAAGCTGATGATACAAGCACAATTACTTAATGTTGTATTTGTAGAATAAAGTAAGGCAAATGACACTTTAATAGAAAAACATAAACTTTATTTATAAAGTGCTTTAAAACAACAAATATACGAAATAAAAAATACCCCCAAAATAAAGTGTGTTAGGCTGTTTTGTCTCCATGCTCCACGCTCCAGAACAGCTTCAATACCTTTACAATAATTCTCCAAGTCTCTGGATTTCTACAGGAGTCACAAAAATTTAGTGACCACAAGATCCACGGCAGTCAGTGAAACCGTAATCTCAGGCGAGACCACTCCCTTTAGGATACAAATGCTTCATCAAGGGACAAAGGTCATCAGTTCTTAGCAACCTTGCATTGATTCTTGATAAATGATCAAGTGGGCCAGAAGTGTGCCAACCTAATAACCCTATCAGTATAACACCTCTCACCGTGAGGGTCAATAGTTCAAGCCTGTACTGTTGTTTCAGTAAATACACACGTGCACCAACCCACTTGTCAAGAATATGTTGAAGGATGACTCATTTGACATATCACTATTTTCCACATTTCTGTAGAACAGTGCCTTTTTATTTGCACCAGTGAACTCTCAAATGTGCACTCGTCTTTGTAATGAGGGTTGTATGCACTGCGAGCCTCCTTTAA